TTGTTTTATCAGTGATGGCATACATTGGCAGACCATTAGATTTTTCTCTCATTAGTCTTACATTCTGGATATTTTGCTTTCACGTGACAGCCATTCAGGCCTTCTCTCTGAGTTGGATGGGAATTGTGGTCTGGTTTTCATCCATTTATTATTTAAAATATAAATTTCTTGAAATTTACCGACAAATTGAGACCAGTGTCGGCACACATAACTATAAACTTGTTTTTGATGCGATAGTTGTTCATAAATACCTCGAAGATATAACCAGCAAATTAAACATTTATTTTCGATTTATTATATTCATTATTTATTTTATAGCCACTCCTGCCCTTCAACTCAACATTTATAGTATTCATAATAAAAACACAGAATTTTATTTACGATTTCTATACGCGATTTTACTCATAACCATTTTGTCAATTGTATTATGCATTCATTTTATCAGTACATTTGTCAGCAAAGTCTCGTCCAAACCTTATCCTCTAATTTATTCGTATATAACCAGAAATAAAGTATCAAATGTCCGACAATTGCTTAAAGTCGAGGGTTTTATTAACCGACTGTCGGGTCCAGTGATTGGTATTTATTGCTATAATTTATTTCCAATGAATAATTGGGAATTCTTTCAGTTTCTATACTTTGCGGGACTTAACTATATATTAATTATGAAAACACTTTAAATTTAATAAAATTACGTTTAATTTCGTTAACACATTAGATACATGATGTATGATTGTACTTATATTAATCAAACAATGTTATTGAGATAACTCCTGAATAAATACAAATAAATAATTTTTTATATAATATAAGTAACAATGTCATTTACTAATATTTAATATAATTGATTGTAACTAAAACACGTATGTATTGATAATCACTTGTTGTTAAAAGCATGACGTGTATGAAAATCAATAAATTCAGTTTAATAAAATATTTATAATAAACGTTTTTAAAATGTACAAAATTGTGTTTTGTTTAATAATTGGGTGTTTGAAATCAAACGAGGCATCAGACCGATGGCCAGATCACGACATTTCAACACTAAAATTGCTACAAATAGTGCACCGACACGGAGAGAGATCGCCCACACATTTTTCAAACAACGATCCCTTCAAAGACCCCAAGNGACACGGAGAGAGATCGCCCACACATTTTTCAAACAACGATCCCTTCAAAGACCCCAAGTATTGGGTCGAAGGGTTGGGAGAACTGACCACTAAAGGCAAGTATCGTATGTATAAATTGGGAGAATTCATACGACAAGAGTATAACCAGTATTTGGGGGACAAATACTCGCCCCGAGAGGTATACGTCCGGAGCTCTATTGTAGAGCGATGTATAGAAAGCACATCCAGTCTATTGGCCGGCGCTTATCCACCAAAACAGAAGGACTGGGAGTGGAATAACGGAACCGATGCTCAGTTGGGTTTGGTTTGGCAACCTTTCCCTATCCAAACATTTATGCCCGTTGAAAACGATACAGTTTGTTATGTTAGTATTTTTAATGATAATGATTTTTTAATGTTTTTTAACTAAATATATATTTTACTATAATTTTAGTCTAAAGATTGTTTAGCAGTAAACAAGGAAAGGGAGAGAATATATAATCAAACATTTATTAAAGAAAAATTATCACATTTTGTGGAACTCTTCAAAGAATTAAGTGAAATCAGTGGTCAACCGATAGAGAGTCCATACGATGCCGCTATTTTTCGCGACGCGTTGGACATTGAATTGTCTCATAATTATGTGTGGAGTAAGACATGGACTTTGGAGAAAGAAAAACATATTGTGGACCAGTTGTTAGAACCCATACTCATTTCCACGCGATACTATTGGGACAGTCGTCTTATTCAAAGGCTCACTGCCGGAGGTTTAG